CAGCACTCAACAAATATAGGGTCCTACTGACAGGTGTTGTACCTCTCGGGGGTGGGGCCTGCCTCCACGTTGACAGCCTTCCTCAGCCTGGTCCTTAGCTTTGGAGATTGACAAGTTGTCAGTGCACCCAGGGTATGCTGTTCTAGCAAAGTTTGTACGAGAAGTCAAGTTACCAATAAGCGGTTTCTTGGTGAACGTGGACTTAGGGTTGTGCGGGGACAATGGGCAGCAGGAGCTCATATGGCCTCCTTTCTCTCCCAGGAACTGGCCCAGAAGCCCCCCGTGGCTGGTCCAGGAGCCCTGCTCCCCTGCACGTAGAAGGGAGGCCCGATCATCTGCTGACTCCAACATCCCCCAGGCCTGAGCTGTTTGACCTGACTGGTTGGAGCCACCCCCTCTTCCCAGCAGCTTTTGGGTGTCCTTTTGGATTCACCCTTGGTCAGAGAAACGTCTTCCCAGAATAAGGAGGCCTCATCTTCATTCAGGGCCATGTAGAGGCTTGGCCAGCCCTGTCAGAACTGCTGAGCACAGCGGGAGACACCCTGAAGGCCCAGCTGTCAGACTCCCGCCCCTTCTGTCCTCTCTGGCCCATGAACAGATGTCCTTCCTTCCCACAGCTCACAGTACAGGCAAACAGCACTCTGCTTTGGACAAGCCTACTCAAGTGGGGAGGTCACCCTGGTCACACTCATGTTTGTCTGGGTGCTACACAGAGATCAGTTCTCTGGAGTGAGACTTCTAATGCAGGTGTCTGAGCTCACACATCATACAGTGATCCCCCCACTACTGATTTCTTTTTTAGGTTGCGAGCACTTTGCAATCCTCCTCAAATATGACTTCATAATTTCTTTTGTTTTTCAGTAATTAAATACTTTTTGTTAACAATAGCTGCATTTATTAATTAGCTAGTGTACTAATTGGGTGATTTGCTTGCATTATCTTTAATCTATACAACAACTGATTCCAATTTTATAGATGAGGAGACTGGAGCTCAGAGGAATCTGTAAAATCAGTAATTGGCCCAAAAATCTATGTGTGTGTGTGGTTTTTTTTGGCATTGGGTCAACATGATGAGTACTTTTCTCCCCAGTCGAAATGGAAAATATTTGCATTTACCTTTTATCTTCCAAAACAAATTCTTGAAACCTCATTGAAGACCAAACCTGGAAAAACCAGACATTTTGATTTGCATGAGCCCAGATTTTGCAAGGACAAAAAGTTCACGTTTCTGTTTCATTTGTCTGTTTGTTCGGCATATTCGAAATCCAAGTCCTGTATCAAATGGGAACCATGGAAACCAGCAGCAGAATGCAATGGTGAGAGGTGGTGATGCCTGAACAGGGCAGGGGCCGAGGATGGGCAGGGGAGACAGAGGAGAGGGGGTGGAGTCCATAGACGTGACTGACCGGCATGGGCTGTGGTTCAATGCCTTCACTTGGGCGGTCACTTCAGCCTCAAGTGTTGCCATTCCCTTTGTCACATCTGCTCCAGCTGGTGCCTAAATGTCCTTGCTCTGTCCGGGCTCCATGGCTCTGAGCGTGTTGCACTGGCTTCTTCCTGCCTGGGAAGACCATTTTGTCACTCCAGAAGTCTTGGGTTTCTTTGTCTGTCTCCCCTAACTAGACAATGAGCTCCTTGAAGGAAGGTGCTGAATCTCTTCTCTCAAAATCCCAGTCTCTGGCACAAAGCCTCAGGCACCAGGAATGTGTGTTGAGAGCAGATCAATAAATTTAAAAAGACGAAGGATGAAGAGGAAGAAAGGAAGTAAAGGGAGAAAGAATGAAGACATAGGGTGAGCCATCTGACCTTATGACGATCACTGATCTCTGATGTTACGTATTAAACCTCATGGGAGTGAGGCGTGAGAGTGATCCTAATGGCACAGGCCTCTGCCAGCTGCTGGAACTCAGGCCGCATGAAATGGGAATGGGTCAGAGGATAGTCTAACATCCTGTCCCAACAGTTTCCACTAGACGTAGTGCTTGCTGCAGACATTGATGTGGGTGGGGGCTGGGGGCACTAAGAGCCAAGAGAGGGGTAACAAGACAAGGTGGACAGGACCCTGACAACCTGTCCCATGTCCTGAGCTCCAGTCCTGGATGCACAAGTGGCCCGTGAGCTGGGCCTTTCTGATGGTTCCTGGTGATTTACATTATAGAATCTCTCTCTGTTTGCTTTGACTTTTTTTCTGTTCCTTCCTTGCTACTTCCACACTTAACTGATCCCCCAGGTCCTCAGGAGACCAAAATGTAAGCCAGAGCAGGAGACAGGGCTTGAATTAATTTCAGCGTCTTTGTGTCTTGCGGTAAAATAGAAAATCTTGCATCTTATGTCCTGTTTGTCTTGGCATGCTATGTTTTCTTATTTATTTCCCCATCAGTTAATTTTGGAAAAGAAAAAGACTTGTCTTCTCTCATGTCCAAATATTCTATGTTAAGTCTGGTAGCGTCAGCACCCAGGTTTGGGAGTCAGGCAGATACTGCAACTTTGCAGAGTGACCTTGGGCAAGTTCCTTTGAAGTCCCCTCCCAAAGCTGGCTCTACGGACGTTCCTGGAAACTGGAGAACCCAGTGCCATCTGAAGTCTGGCTACTGCCTTTCATACCTGCAGCAACAAACCCACCTCATATTTCTTTTATGACAATTACTGTAATGAAAGCACCATCGTTTTCATTTCACTGGTGGGGCAGGCAAAGAGCTTGCTCAGAACTATGTAACTCATAATGGCATAGGACCAGGGTTGCCCCTACCCCATGCCGTCCGGTGGTTGCACTTTCTCCATCCTTTGCGTTCTGGTAGCGATCTGGAAAGCACTCCCTCCTCTGGCTTTCCACTGCCCTAGTCTTTTATTTCTTCTGCATTAAAAAGAAGGGTGGGCTTGGAATAGCTTGAGTCCCTGGGATCCCGGAAGCCAAGGTGGGGATCCAGGAAGCAGTGCTTAAGTGGGGGGGGGGGTGTCGTCTACCGACTGCATGAATATGCAAGACGCTCTCCCCATTTCAGCTCTTGAGGAGGAAATGGCCACACAGGCCAAGGAAGCTGGCAGCTCACTTGCTCCGAGCCAGAATGAGAGCAACGCAGCTGGTTCGCTGGCTATCTCAGGCTGATCACGGGCTCTGATGGGCAATTATACATGTCTTTGATTAATAAAAAATGGGGCAATGAATGAATACTTAATCAACGCAGTCTGGTGGGGAGGCTCTTTCAGAGCCTGGGCTGGGGGTGAGGCAGGGAGTAATCAAAGGGGCCCTGGGAGGTGAAAAGTCAGGGCAGCTACAGGGGGTGGTTCTGGAAAGATCTCCAGTCCTGGTCCTTGGGTCTCTGTTGGGTTCTGTGCTGGTGGGTCTGCTGTGCTTGGGATTTGCTGGACGTGCTGGGGGCATGAGATGAGAGAGAGTGGAGCTGGTGGGCAAGTGGGGGAAAATGTATTCTGCGCCCGCCCACGTGGTCAAAGAAAAGCACAGGGAATAAGGTGTGTGTGTGTGCACGTGCGTCTGCAGGTGGATGTGTGTCCTCCGTGTGTGATGTGTTTGTGGTCTGTTCGGTCCCCTGGGTCTGCCTGTGTGTGCAATGGTATTAAAACTCACTTGGCTGGGGAGGGAGGACTGGCCAGGGAGCTGGGAGGCTGAAAGAGCAGCAGGAGAGATGAAAGGGGCCGCTGCTGGGGTGAGAGGGGGAGACAGGAGGGAATCCAAGGCTGAGAGAGCGAGCCTTCGAGCCCCAGCGAAAGGGAAGGAAGTGATGGAGAGTGGGAGGTGTTGGACCTTCTAGACACCACCCCGCCCCCCCCGGCCCTGGCCCTTCCGGAGGGGGTGGGGGTGGGAAGGGGGAGGAAGCGGAAGGCACCGGAGGTGAGAAAAGGTGCGAACCTGAACCTCAGAACCTCAGCGAGCACGGAGACTGCCCAGAGAGCCTGGGAGGAGGCAGCCGGCAGGGTGCTGGGGAGGGGCTGGCTGTGTGGCCAGGAGACCAGGGGGACAGGAGACGAGGGTGGGGGGAGCGGTGGACAGTGAGGCCACTGGGGTGCCTACGCAGGGGGCGGGGCAGACAGACCTGCGCTGTAGGGGTGCGGGCTGGGGGTGGCAGCAGGCTGGGCCTCTCGGCTGCTTTGCTGGCACATGGTAACCAGAGCAGGGGACAAGGGGAGTTCAGAGAGGAAGGGATATTTTGGCGTTGGAATATTTCAGGCATTGGACTGGCCTAGGTTGTGACTAACTGACCCAGGTGACCTAGGACAGGTTGACATAAATCTTCTGGAGCTGTGGCTTCCCTGGCAGTAAAGGGAAGCCAACTCTACACCAAGTTTGCCGGGTTGCCGTGAGGATCTGTGAGCACACACACAAAGACCCCTTACCCCGCTGACTGGTGCAGCGCTGCTGCTGTCATTGTTTTCGTGGACAGTCCCCAGAATTGGGCTCAGTCCCCCTTCCCCACCTGCTGCCAACTGTGATGGAATGGAGAGGCTTTTTGCCGCTGTTTCCAACAGCTGGCCCGGCTCTCCAACCCACAGAAAAGACTTTGGCCACCTCTGGCTTTCCCATGAGCCCCTTGTACCCAGCAGCCTCTGCCTTCTTCTTCTTGTTTTCTTTTTTTTTAAAAAGATTTTATTTATTTAGTTTTAGAGAGAAGGGAAGGGAGAGAGAAAGAGAGGGAGAGAAACATTAATGTGTGGTTGCCTCTTGAGCACTCCCTACTGGGGACCTGGCCTGCAACCCAGGCATGTGCCCTGACCGGGAATCAAACTGGTGACCCTTTGGTTTGCAGGCCCGCACTCAATCCACTGAGCCAGACCGGCCAGGGCATCTCTGCCTTCTTTTATAGGATCCAGAGACGCAAACACCAATGGTTTCTACCCAAGCCGGAAACAGCCAGGACCAGAGAGCTACGTGAACGGAAGTGCCTGCCAGGGCAATTTTCCAAGTGCTCCAGTGCCAGGCCTCGCCACTTCTGAGATCCACCACGGGTGCCAGTGGGGTTGGAGGGTCTGCTGTACTTCAGGCCATGCCAAGCCAGGCACTGTCCCTGCACGTGGCCACCCTGCCGACGGGGCTGCTGGAATGCCTTGGCTTTGCCGGTGTCCTCTTTGGCTGGGCATCCCTGGTGTTTGTCTTCAAAACAGAGCATTACTTTGAGGACCTCTGTGAACCGAGCCCTGCGCTGATGAGCAATGCCACGGGCCACGATGGTAAGGGAGTGGTGACCTCTCTAGGAGGCTGAGCCTGGCTCCTAGGTGGTGGGGAAGGGTAGGGAGGACTTTACCTCCTGCCCACCTTGCCAGCCTTTATGTGGTGGAAGGGGTTGTCAGCCAGCCTTCCTCGCTGCCCCAGCCTCAGTCTGAGGGGAGCCCGGGGAGGGAAGAACCAGCTTCTGAGGGGTAATGAGGGACAGTCACGCTTCGACTCGCCTACGGGAAACCTTTCCACCAGGCACGCTGTTGGCCCATCTGCCCCGGGCTTCTGAGCTCCTCCCTTCTCTCCTCTAGACTGCAAAGCCCAGGACGAGAGGTTCTCCCTCATCTTCACCCTGGCGTCCTTCATGAACAACTTCATGACCTTCCCCACTGGCTACATCTTTGACCGTTTCAAGACCACCGTGGCCCGCCTCATAGCCATGTAAGTCCCAAAGGCCCAGCCTGGGCACAGGGGGGCAGGAGGAATCCCTCTGGCAGCAGCCTTGGCTGCCGGGAAACCCAGGCCAGACGGCAGGGCAGCTCTGTGGGAAACAGCCCCGGAGAGGGAACACACCCCGCACCCCTCCTTGCCTTTCCTCACCTTCTACTTCTGCTCCCTGTGCATGTGTGTTAATCTGGAGGCTGAACTGAACAAGAGCCAGCGAGGCCTACTTCCTGGGAGGGCAGGCCTGGGGCCAGGGTCACCAAACTAGCAATACCTGAAATTGCCACTCTGCCTTCACCCCGGGAATCCGAATCTCCTACAAGGCCTCACACCAAGGGTCTCAGGCTTCATCATCCTCCTCCTTACCCTCCGCCATCCCCCAAAGGCTGAGTAGATGAGTCGGGGAGGGTCGGGGACTTGATCTTGCTCACACAGAATGTCCCTGGAGCTGGCCATGTTCAGCCACAAGCACTGGCCTGCAGGGGGCCGGGGGGGGGGGGGGGGGCGTGGCTGGTAGGACCTGAAGCGAGCGCCTCCTGGTGGGCATGTGAGACATTACTTGTCAGATAGCAGGACTGGAGGGCAGGCTGGGCCAGGAAACAGCCGGAGAGCAAGTAAGTCCCTTGTTCTTTAAGCCTTTAGATGCACGAGGGCTTTATGTCAGTTTCTTGGTGTTTGGCTCCCTGTCCCCTCCTCTATCCTCCCCTCCCTTTGCCCCTTCCTCTTCCCAGCCTTCCTCAGCATGTTAAGAAAATCTCAGTCTTCCTTTCTGGGTTTCTTCTTTGCTTTCACACAGAACACTTGAACGTTTGATGCTCCGGTCACCACACGTGTGAGCTGTTTCTTCCACACCAAGCAATTCTGTGACACCGGCATTGGCACCAATGCCGACACTTTCTGCAGGAGACAGTGTCGGATCTCAGGGGTTAAGGGTTCAGCCCCATGAGACTGCCCCCATTTCAGATGTCGCAGGGGGTAGGTCCCCTGTGGGGAGGGAGGAGAAAAATCCCCCTCTTTCCATTCTTAGTTCTTCTGGATGGTCTAATGATCAAATTGGCACGGGGCAGATTAACAGGAGAAAACACCATATTTAATTACATGTGTACATACAGGGGCTCCGTGAGAATATGGAGCCCAAGATCAGGCAGGTGAGGCTGATCTGTCACCTGGAGCTAAGGAGAAAGGAGGACAGGTAGTGGTTTGGGACTTCAAAGGGGAGGAAGGCAGTTCACAGGGAGGTGGACAAGCAGATGTTTGGTCAACACATGTCTGCTGGACCGTCTTTAACCATGGGACCCAGAGGGACTTCCACCGGCTGACGTGCTAGGTCCCTCCCTCTCACTCATTAGTTCCGATTAAACTGTCGCTGTCTGTGATGGTACCTCCCGTCCTGCGGCAGGTCCTCTAAATTTTTTTAGGGAATTAGGGGGAAGGTCAAAGCTTCTTTCTGAGTTTTTTTTTGTTTCTTAAAAATAACCAGCTTCAAATAATCACAGATCTTCCCTGACTGGCGGGGCTCAGTGGTTGGGCATCTGTCAAGAAAAGTGAAAGGTCACCGGTTCGATTCCCAGTCAGGGCACGTGCCTGGGTTGCAGGCCCACCCCCCGGCTGGGGTGTGTGCGAGAGACAACCAGTTGATGCTTCTCTCCCTCTTTCTCCCTCCCTTCCCCTCTCTCTAAGAGTAAGTAAATAAAATCTTTTAAAAAATTCTTTAAAAAAACCCCAATGTCCTAAAGAGGCACATTTTGGGTGGCAAACTTTGTTCCCCTTTACCCGGTTACCCACAACTTTTTTTGTCCAACCTGGCTATGGATCAGAGGTTCCCATGGTCTCTTCCAGATTTCATTATTTGATAAAGCAGCTTATAGAACTCGTGGAAACCCTTATGCCTACTAGTTTCTGAAAGGACGTGATAAAGGATACAGAGAAACAGCCAGATGAAGAGATACGTATTAGCCGTTCTCGGAAAACATGCAGGTAAAGGAAACACAGCTTCTGTACATAAAGCTTCTGTCCCCACAGAGCTGGGTGCCTTGCCCTCCTGGTACTGGGATTCTGTGGAGGATTCCTCAGGTAGGCGCAATCAATTATGAGCTCCATTTCTTTCTTTTTTTTTAAGATTTTATTTATTTATTTTTAGAGAGGAAAAGGGGGGGGAGAGAGAGAGAGAGAGAGAGAGAGAGAGAGAGAGAGAGAGAGAGAAACATCAATGTGCAGTTGCTGGGGGGCCGTGGCCTGCAACCCAGGCATGTACCCTGGCTGGGAATCAAACCTGCGACACTTTGGTTTGCAGCCCGTGCTTAATCCACTGAGCTATGCCAGCCAGGGCTATGAGCTCCATCTCTAGCCCCTCTCCACTCTCCAGACCAGTGTGTGGGGGACAGGGCTGAAGACTCCAAGCTTCCAAACATGGCTCAGTCTTCCTGGTGACCAGCCCCACATCCAGGAGACACCCAGGGTTGCTTCATCAAAACAAAAGATGCTCCAGTGCTCTTATCACTTTACTTAGGAATTTATGAGGGTTTTAGGAGCTGTGTCAGAGGCTGGGGACAAAGGCCAAATAAATATTTCTTATTATAAAGTCAGAGTATCACTGTTCGCCCCCTGGTGCAGCAGCATGGATTTCTTATAGCAAAGCAATCGTAGAGTTCAAAAGACATGACACATTACTAATCCCCTTCAGTCACTAATTACTATCTGGGCCATCATCATATCACATGAAAGTGTCTCCCAGGGCCACTCAGGTCTGCAGGCTTCTTGTTCGATCTTGCCTAGTTCCAAAAGTAGGAGTGGTGTCAGCAATTTATGTCTTTACCCTTTTAGGCATCTGGGATAATTGAGCTAAGAGAGCATCATCTCTTGCTCTGAGCCTCTTTCGAGGTGTTAATGTAATATTGGATTTCCTTCAGTGCATAACGCACTTACTCATTCCCTTACCTTTAGTTACTATTCCTCCTTCTCTTCATTTTTACCCAAATGTTTCCATGATGCTGGTCTGGATTGCGGGCAAGTGCCCCTCCCCCACCTCAGCCCACTTCTCTGCAGGTCACACAGGGGCAGAACTGCTAGGCTGTCTTCGGCACTGTGTGGGCAATCTAGCCACATTCACTACTGGCCCTGAATTTTGCCAGACGGGCTGAAGGCACCTCCTCGCCCATGGAGCTCTTAGGAATTGTAGCATAAAGCTTAAACACAGTTCCAGTTTCTCTCTCAGGAATCCTCCCTGTCTCCATCTCTTGTACCCACTGTGTTGGTAAGGAAAAAGAAAGTTGAGTTGACGTGGAGCAGAAAGAATACCGCAATCTCCCCTATCTCCTCTTCCCCAGTCCACTTAAAAAACAGGGGCACGTATCCAGTGGGGACACTCCTTTAAGTCCCTCTGATGCTGAGTGTGAGCACACACTTGTGAAGGTGTGCAATCCAGCCCTTCCCACCCTTTTCCTCCATTTCCAACAACCAGTGCTTCAGTTGCCTGTTCCGATTCTCTGTCAAACTAGTGCTCTGAGAACATCCCTGTCCGTTGTCGGACACTTGGGCTGTAAAGGGTGTTCCTTGGTGGGAAGAGGTGGTGGCCAGCTATACAAATTGGCATAGTATCCCAGTTCTTTTATCGCATCTACCCCTAGTGAGCACAGCCCAGGCCAGAGTCAGTGTCGATTCCCGCTGGGACCCATGCGTAGCTGCCCGGTGCTTCCAGCAGCTGCTCCTCTTGCCAGCTCCGTTCAGGGACTTCCCCCCAGGGGATCTGCCATGTGGCCATCTGCGGTCTCTGCCTTTTTTGCTGGCAGGCAGAAGAGCTCTCACTGGACTGCTGTGCCCCAGAGGCTGCGAGAGGACTATGTGTAGGTCCAGCCCCTCTCTGCACTGCTGCAGCAGTCCCAGGTCCACTCAGCTGATGGACCCAGGTGGCCACATCAAGCGAGCACAAAGGGACATATGCTAGTTCATTTCAGTCCTTATCTGAACTTGGAAAGGGGTTCTTTGGATAGACATAGACATGCCCTACTTTAATGCACCCCTCAAATACCATAGTGATTTCCACAGGGCCATTCTCCCATATGGGCATCCCTTTAATAAACCAAGTGTCCATAATTCTCTGTCTGACCATATGGCCAGGCCATTGGCCTCTGCCCACTAGCCAGTAAAAACCCAAACGCTTTTCCATCTTTGCTCCTGCAACTCAGCCAAGAAGCTGGGCCATTCTTACTTTACCTCCTTTGATCAAAGTGGTGGCTTTCCAAACGGGACGTTGTCCAATTACCATGAAACTGCCGTCCGCAAGCCCAGCAGCTCTGGGTGGGCCAGTTAAGGGTCCTTCATCAGGCTGTGTCCAAGTGACAGTGGAATCCAGCAGCTCCCACACAGTTCTCAAGTCAGACCCACCAGAGAGGAGGCTCCCTGCTGGGGGGGCGTCTCCTCCGTGGGTTCCCCAGCAGCATGAACCGGTGTGAACCCTTTCTCATGGAACTCTTCTGGGCACAGCCACGCCCCTTAGAACGTGTCTCCAACTGAACAGCCCAGACATTGTGGGCATTTCGTGTTCGAAGATCGTTTGATGTTCTTTAGTCATCAGTGTAGCTTCCACTAATGTCGGTAACAAAATCATAGACGCCCCCCTATGGAAGTTCTCTGGTTCAAAACCCAGTTGTCATCCCCGGGAGGTGCCCACAGGCTTTGCCATTGCGTGGTCTGGGCTCTGCATGGCTGTGGCATAGAGAACTTGTCCCTACTAGCCCTCCCATTTGTACTTCACAGTGCGAACTCAGGCGTTCTTACTGGCACCAGGTAGCCTGGCTTGAAGGGTGGATTCCCATGCCTCTTTTTGACAATGCAGGTAGGGCCCTGGTCCCCAATCAGACACAGTGTCCACCCCCACAATACAATCAGGTGAAGGAGGCACAACCACTTCACACAAATCCTGTTCAAACATACCAACTTTATTACACACTCTTTAAAAATCCTTCCCTGAGGATATGTTCATTGATCTTAGAGAGGAAGGGAGAGAGAGAGACATAACATCGATGTGAAAGAGAAACATCAATTGGTGGTTTCCTGCGCATGCCCCGACCAGGAATCGAACCCTCAACCTTTGGGTGTACAGGACAACACTCCAGCCAACGGAGCCACGCGGCCAAGGCTTCCTGCACACTTGTACCGTAACTTCACCAACCCTGACATCCCTAACTGTAGCCTCCTTAGGACGTTATCCTCAGGTTTTGGTCTTACCAGGCAGGCAAAGGCAGTGTTCCCCTTATGACACATTAGCCATTCTCATAAAAACATTCAGTTAAAGGAAACACACTTCTTCACATAAAGCCTGTTGAAACATTCCACCTTTCGTAATCTTATCAACTCTTACACGTTCAGCTCCTCCCATGAAAAACCTCCTTGTCAAGGGCCTCCCTGCTGGGTTTTGGCACCGTGGTACGTGAGGCTGCTATCGCAAGGAGCCCTGAAAACGTCTTTTCCACCCCCGACCACGTTTACCCACTCTTGTGCAGCGGGTGTTGGGTCCCCAGCGAGGGGTCCCCCTTGTGTCTATCTCTAGCTTGACTAATCTGCCTCCAGCAATTGCTGGTGTGGTTTCTTATCATACTCTCAAAAATAAGCTGGCCTGGTTTGGGGTTCCTTTAAGGCAGAGCAACCAGCAGGGGGTCCCCTTGGCCCACCCAGCCGCCTGCAGTGCTGCATCAAAACCTGTTGTACGGCCCCATGGCACTACTAGCCGGACAGGCAGTGTTGGGCCTCTGCAAGGCCAGGATGCTTCTCGGCCACAAGGAGATCAGAGGTGGGAGAGGAGCAGCTCCAGGAAGCCCATCGGGGCTCAGCCCTGTCAGCCGCCCCTTGGGAGCCCCTTCCCAGGCAAAGGGCATCGTGCCGGGAAGAGTCGGGGTGGAAGCCAGACAGCTTCATCCTGCCACCCCGAAGTAACAGTAACGGTTGTTGGAATTTTACTGAGGAAAATGATAAGTTCTGGTTGTTGGATTCGGTTGCAAAGGTCGTGCTGTTGGTGACATTTCCGGAGTCTGCTTTAAGGTGGTCAGAGTGGCCAGTGTCTCTGTGGCCTTGGACAGGCCGTAGACCTAGGTTTTGATGGTGAAAACATCGCGCTAATTGCTTTATTCACCTCAGTCCTTAATAACAATTTAGCATTTCTCCCAGCCCCTTCATGCTCTCCTCTCCCTTCCCCCATTCTCTTGTTAATTATGCTGATATAGTTACTAACATCCGTAAGACCCAGGAGGGGAAGCAGGGACAGCAAACACAGTAAGGCTTCCCGAACGGTTTTTTGGGTTCCGCAGCATTGAGGTTGTGTGGGGTGCCCACGTGGAAGGGGCCCTTAACCGCAGCATCCGCCGTGACCTGGGTAACAGGCGTGCTCGGCGGGTGACTATCCTGGCCATCACTGAAGCCACGCTCCCGTGACCCGCACGCAGAGCATAGCAGCGTCTCCATCTGGGTGCTCCACTGGGCATAGACGGGAACACGGACCCAGCAGTGGCTTTTATCCAGTCCACCTGGCTGGCCGCTGCCTTAGGAACAGCCTCCTGCGTGTTCGTGTCACTCACCGCCACCTGTGATTGTTCCGTGGTGAGCTGTGGGTCCTGAATCCACCCAAATGTGCTCTTCCACTCCGCGGCATTCAAAACCCAGACACAGCCCCAAATACGTTCCTCTCACGGTGGACTTCAGTAAAGGGCCCTCGGGAACCCTGATGATACGGGTCCTCGAAATGAAACGACGTCTTCCCTGTGCTCTATGGTTTCGGTTGTATCTTGGTTCTGCTCTCCTCCCGCACGGACTGCCTTCTTCGTGCCCGCAGGTCTTAGAGGTCCTTTCTGCTGTTCCCGCATAACTTTTCCCTCGGCAGGGCGGCTTTGGGGCTGATGGCTGCAGCTCAGGCCGACCCAACTCTGAACTTGGTGTAGCCTCAAGGTCTGACCCAGCCCTCTCTTTTAATTTTCATTTGACCTATACTGCACATAACAATGACCAAGAGACTGTGTATTTTACCTTTTCCTTATTAGTTTGCATTTTCTTATGCATCCAGTGAACCAATTCCCCCAAGAGTGGGTCTGTCTCTAAATTTTATTGGTAATTACACCTTTAGTGACTGATCGTAACACAGCTGCTGGGCCACACCGTGGGGGACCACGTGGTCACCCAGGAGTCAGAGGTTCTCCATCCCACACCTGTTCATCCTTTCTCTTCCCGGAGCCCAGGTTTCCACCAGCCAGGGTCATTCAAGCAGATCCCACCCACTGACACCCACTGTATCGGGAAAGCCTACCGTTCTCCTTTCGCCTTTGTTTTCACACAGAACGCTTCGCTTCTGACACGTCTGCTCACCAAACGTGCGGGGAGATGTCCCCTCATCAAGCAGCTCTGTGACACCAGCTGGGTGTTGTACAATGTAACTCAATTCTGACGTTCCTTACCTGGAGGTGCATCAGATCCCACGAGACTGTCCCCCCGCCCCCACTGTAGATGCCAACCACAAGTGGTGGTTCCGCAGATGACCCACCACTTCTGCCCGACTTGGCTACACATTGGAGGTAGGTTCCGTGACCCCCACCCCCCATCCCTTGGACTTCCTTTGCTAGAACATCTCACAGAACGCAAGAAAACACTTGACTCACATTCACCGGTTCAGTAAAGGACATGGCAGAGGATACGGCCAGCCAGCCAGATGAAGAGATGCATAGGGTGAGGTCTGGGAGGGTCCCCAGCACAGGAGCTTCTGTCCCCGTGGGGTTGGCGTGTGTCACCCTCCTTGGCTTGTGGAGGTGCTCACAGACCCGGAAGCTGTCAGAACCTCTTACCTTTGGGTTCTATGGAGGCTTCTTCACCTAGGCACGATCAAATCTTTCCAGCCCCTCCCCCCTCTGGAGAAATTGGGGGAGGAGGGGCAGAGGGTGAAAATTCCAAGTATCCAGTCACGACTCTGTCCTTCTGGGGACCAGCCCCCATCCAGGTCACACTGAGAGTCACCGCATCAGAACAAAAGATGCTCCCAGTGCTCTTACCACCTAGGAATTGACAAGGGTGTCAGGAGCCGTGTGTCAGCGGCTGGGGAACAAAGACCAAATAGGAGTATGTTATGTATTTCTTATTACATATCAATCACACTTAAGCATCGTTTTTATTGCTCATGCCTTCAAGATCCCCAAACTGATGAGAGATCCCCATAGCCTTGGGATTGTGGACCTGAAATTATAGGGCCCTAGAACTGTACACTTCATGTCTAGGTCATTCCAATCATTGCCTTTTATAGAAAGGGCTACTGAGGCTCAGAGAAGGGCAGGGCCTTGCCCACGGGTACACAGCCAAGAGGAATTGGGACTCAAGGCTTTCATTTTGGAAACCAGGCACCACTGTCTTTCCCCAAGGGATTGGCCTGTGGGAAGTTCGTCTGCTCTTCCCCTCCAGGTTTCTCTCTTCCTGACAACACTCTCCGCCTCCCGCTGTGCATTGCAGATTTCTCTACACCAGTGGCACGCTCATCATAGCCTGCATCTCTGCAGGTGAGTGTTGTCAGGTGGGAGGAAGGGACACCTAAAGCTCAGGGGCACCTGGTGGACGGGGCAGGTGCAAGAGGTGATGGCAGAACACATGGACTCCCATGGTTACTCAGAGATCCACAGACATTGCGCTTGAAAGAATCCTTGAAGGAATTACTGCTGGTCTATGCAAACAGTTTAGTCTACTGAGAAATGTGGAAAATAAGCACAATGGAGATACTGCTTCAGGGGGCAAAATTTATCCGAAGTTCACATCCTTCCTCTGGTACGTGTTGAAATGCTCTGTCTCTTTTAAAAAATGAGATGATAATATGAATGACAGGGGCTCTTAAAAGTGTCCTTACTTAGCAGAGTAGAGGTAGACCACCCTCTGGTAGTCTGAAGTTGTGTTTTCAAATTTTACTGGTCTGCACACATAGAAAATGCCCCAAGTCTGGGAATTCCAATTCAGTTCATTACCACCTTCCCCCATCAAGTAGAGGACAAAACTGAAGCCAGAGAGACTCCTGGCAAAGACTTGCTCACAGCCACAGAGTGAGTGAGTGGGGGGTTAGACGTGGGACCCCTGACCGGCCAAGAGATGCCTTCCCATATTGCTCCCCAGTGTTGGGTCACAAGGCTCAAATGTTGGGTTAGTAAGATCATGTAACTCGTGTGTGTGTGTGCATGTGTGTGTGTGTGTGTGTGTGTGTGCAGTACCTGTGCTGAAGCCCGAAAGTGACACGGTGCCATCTCCACTGGTACCCAGTTAACACAGGCTGGGTGTCTCTGCCCACACAGACCTCAGGAGATAGCCTGGCACCCAGAGCCGGCTATTTAAAACCCCTCTCCTCATCTATCTGGGCTTCATCTTTCCTAACAGCCTGTAAGTGATTTTCAAGTGGCCGAATGTGGAGGGGATGGTGGGGGACGTTTGACTCATTGCGAATCAATCATTTGAGCAACAATTCCGTCTTTCCCCATAACATAGTGCTTTTAGTTTGGGGGGAAAGTCTTGGGACTACACTGTCCCTGTTGTGAAACGAATCACAGCCAATTCCTAGTGCCTTGGGAGAACTGTACCTTTTATAAAGACAGAAGAAATTGGATGGCAAACTGTGCAAACACTCTATGGTGGGCACTTTACCTGCTTCTCAAGGTGCAGAACAATCGTTAATTACTTCGGAGGATATCAGGAGAAACACACGTGTGCTCCATTGACAAACAGTGACTCACCCACCTGGTGGAAAAGTTGTTTCATTTTTATTTCCCTGTGAGGCCTCTGATTTCACGAACGGAGGTCTTGATGTGGGTGAGGCTGGTGCGACTGGAACCCTGTGGCAGGAGCAGGTGGCAGGCTTGGAGCATTCTGAGGGCAAATGCCTCCAGTTACGATGTAACGATATTGTTTCCCTTCCATTGTATTTATTTTTGCAGCTTCTTGCTATTCATGACAAACCACACGGGTTGCTTTTCATTTACAATAGTGATGTGAAGTTTCCTTAAAAAATAATAGATTTCTTTTGGGTAAAAGTGAGTCAACGTAAAGAAAACATGTTAGCAAATACTAGTGTTACTGAATGGAGACCCTGCCCCGAGCAGGTCTGCCTTGGGCCAGCCGGTAGTGTGTGGGTTCTTGGCCTGGTTCAGGCCAAGTTGTGTGATTCTGAGAGTACCTTTATTAAAGCTGGGGAGAGTGAGACAAAGGAAGGACTTAGGGCAGAAGAAGCAGCAGGAGAGAACCTAGGCAGTGCTCTGCTAGCTGGCTCCCTAGAAATGCTGTAGGAAAGAAGTGAGTCAAGGTGGGGCTTCTTTTAGCTCCCTGGAAAATCAGAGAAAGGGGGGCCTTGGAGACAGATTCAGGGGAGAAGACCAGGGATGAGCTGCCACTGCCCACTGCTGCTCTGGTTGCAAGTCTTGTGGGGTCCCTTAGAGTTTAGGGGGAAGTAAAATGTTCATGCCCGAGAAGGGCCATGGGCATGCTCTAGAGGGAGCCAGTACTGGGCTGGCGTCCTTTATCTTGAGGGATTTTCTCTCTCTTCTGGGACTGACTGAGAGTCAGAGGGGAGGGTTTTAGCAGAATATGCATCAGCTCTCCAGGTGTGTTTTAAATATGCTGATGCATCCAAATGAGCTCATGGAGGAGTATGGGATCCTTCTCTGGTCAGCTTCACGGCTTTCCTTTTATATTGGGTCTGTCTGGCTCTAGTCGGGTTTTTGCTATTTGTCCCCCTGACTTCATCCATCCCTGGGTTTGGCTAGCACAAATGGCGTGAATCGGGTCTCTGTCTCCTCTTTCCCTGACCGTGTCGATTCAAGCTATTTATTCTCAGGCTGGGGAGGAGAGGTATAAGCATTTGTTCTCAAGTGTCCTTGGTTAGGGAAGATAAGGTCTTGCAGTTCAGTAGCTGGCTGTAAGTTGTTCCAATTATTTGGCCTTGTTTAATTATCTTGCCTCTGTTTCCCCATTCCGCTAGCCCAGGACTGTACCTAGCTTCTTACCACCCTGCCTCACTAGGACAGGCATGGGTTATGGCCAAAATCATGAAAGTGGGCAGAAGTTTGTGGTTTGGGAAAGACTAATTATTAAGCCACACTCCCCTTGGCACTTTAGTTGTTTACTATGATCCAGCACGTTCCAGAACTATTGCAATGATTTTTTTTTTTTGCACATCAGTTTTGTCAAGGACAGGAAGTATTCTTTGCTCAACCTGCATCTTCCAACACTGAGCACAAGGCTTGGCACGAAGGAAGTGCTCCAAGTTCAACGAGCAAAGGCAGAACAACCCATGGGCGTGTTCTCGCTGAGCTCTCCCAGTGCCCCAGGCGGCAGGAGGAGCAGGCAACTGAGTCGCAGAGTGAGAATCCTGCTCAAAGTCGCGCAGTGAAGGAGAGGCTGGGCCTGGGGGCTGAGTCCAGGCTTCCCCCACACAGTGCCCAGGATGAGCAGAGGGCGGCCTGTGCTTTAGTGAGGGCGGGGAGCAGTGGCCTTTGGCTTTGAGCCCTGCCTCTTTTTGTAGAGAGACCCAGGCCTGCCAGGGGCCAAGGGCCATCTTTGGTGGGGAAGAAGGTGGCTCTGGAGATCTCTGCGGGGGTCCCCCTGTGGGGAACATTTGGGGGAACTCTGGCCAGTGCCTTAAGAACCCCCCCTCTGGGGTTGTCAGGAATTTGGAGCAGGTGGGGGCCAGATTTGAGGCTCTGTGTTTGCGTTGTACTGTGATGACACCCACCTCTGAGTTTGATTGTTCCAGCCTCAGGTCGCTGCCCTTCCTGGCCATGCCCATGCTCACCGTCGCGGAGTCCTGTTTCTGATCACCAGCCTGCAGGTGGAAGGCTGCCCTCAACCCAGGCACCCCGCAGGAGGCTGGGGAGGGATGGGGGGAGCAAAATACATTTGTCCCTCAGCTGTCTGAAATGGGGGCTGGCCTAAGCCAGGGAGGCAGCTGTGGGACAGAGGGTGGGCTGGGTGTCAGGAAGGCCGGGCCCATGCTGGGTGCCCTGGAAACAGTTCTTTCATGAGTACTCGAGTGATTCAGGCTGGTTGTGTGTCCTCCAGATTGGGAACCTCTTCGGCAAACACCGCTCGACCATCATCACCCTCTACAACGTAGCGTTCGACTCTTCCTCAGCCGTCTTTCTTATCATTAAGGTGAAAATCAGCAATGTCCAACACTTAATCTGCCAGACACTGGTCTAGTAAACTTTGTGTGATTTCTCTCCATGAGCCCTTCTGCTGCTAGTAAGGTGACACGTGAACTTGAACCCAGGTCTGTCTGGTCCTAGAGCTTGAACCTGTAACCCTTAAGCTCTTTATTTAAACTTAATAAGCTAATTGGAAGCTAATGGAAGCTAATGGAAGGCATGGCTATGATGTGCTTGGGCCAGTGTTGGCCACACAGTGGGTCCCTTTGGCGTGGGGTGTTTGCACCTGTGAGCTTCCTGCTTGTAAGAGAAGGTGGGAGGCAGCTATGGGGACCCTGGGGGGATAGTCACTTAGCATAGTGTCCTCAGGGCTCACCCACATTGCATCATGTGGCAGAATTTCCTTTCAAAGGCTGAATGATACTCCACTGTCTGTGTGACCGCACTTTGCTGATCCACTCATCTCTGGACAACCCTTGGGTTGCTTCCAGCTTTTGGATGTTGTGGAAAATGCTGCTGTGAACGTGAGTGGTACGCTAACTTTTCCCTCCTCCTGCTGCAGCTCCTTTATGAACAGGGCATCCGCCTCAGGGCCTCCTTCGTCTTCCTGTCTTTGTGCAGTGCCTGGCACGTTGGGCGTACCTTCCTCCTGATGCCCCGGGGGCACATCCCCTACCCACTGCCCCCCAGCTACAGCTATGGGTAAGGACTGTGATCTGGTGTTTGTGGGCCAGAGCCCCTACGGTGGCCTGAGGTAGGAAGCAGGGGGCAGGGCAGACAGGGCGATAGAGGGCAGAGGAAACTTGTCCCAGAGGAGGACTGGAAAAAGGGGGTATCGATGAGCTATTGCTGCATAACACACACCCCCAAAACTTACTGGCCTAAAACAGTAAGCACTTACAATTATTCACAAGTCTGGGGGTAGCTGGATAGTTCAACTGATCAGGGACAGACTTGGATGATCATGACGGGCCTTGCTCATGTCTCTGATCATCTGTCTGGTGGGCTAGCTGGGGGCTAGGTGGTCTAGGATGGCAGACATTTGAAGTGACAGGAATGCCTGGTCACCAGACTCTCATCACCCAGCGGGCTCGCTTGGCTTGATTTACATGGCGGTTTCAGGGTTCGAGAGAGTGCAGAAATGCCCAAGGTTCTTAAAGTTGAGGGTTGGGATCGGTACATCACCATGTCTGCTGCGTTTTTGTGGCTGAAGCAGCTGACGAGGCCAGCCAAGATTCAAGCGGTGGAGAATAGTCAGAGCTGCAGTCACATTGCAAAGTGTGGGGAGCAGAGGAGGTGAAGAAACGCGACCACTTTGCAGTCCACCACTACAACTAGCAGAGCGAGGGCACGTGTTTGCTTCTCACTTACTATTTGCAGACCTGCGGGCTCTTGGGTGTCATCTCACGATCATCCTCTGAGTTGGATGTCCTTATCCCCATTTTCCAAATGGGAAATTTGAGGCTCAGAAGGGTTAAATCTGCACCATGCTGCCTGCTAGGAAGTGGCAGAGCTGGGATTTGAACCCAGGCCTGTCCTACTCTTCCCACACTTCCCAAGCGTTGCTGCCTATTAGAATCACTAGGATTATTACCTGGAGATCTTTGAAAAAACGTGGAACCCTGGCTCACATGACCAGGCATTCTGGCTTCACCAGTCTGGGCTGTGAGCTGGGTGTCGGGGTTGGTAAAGGTGATTGCAGTGTGCAGGGACATTGGAGATCCACTCCACTGTGTCCTGCAGCCTGAATCTCAGGCTCAGCTCACAGCCCTTGGGCTGGGGTGGTGGGGCTTCTGTTTCCACAGCCTGTGTTCTGGGGATAGCACCGGAGAGAAGAAGGAGGAAAGAGCTGAGTCCAGAAAGCTGGACTTATCATCCAAGGAGCTCCCGTCACCAAAGGAAGGTGAGCCCTGCTGGGTAAGCCATTTCCCCTTGAGAGCCCGGCCTTCCCCTGCAGCTGACCTGGCTCCTCACCCCCAGAGCTCCGCCAGGACTCAGACTCGGGAAAGGTCAGGTGGAGACAGGTCTCGTAGAGCCTTCTCAGCCCCCTCAGTTCACAGAGTCCAGAGAGGGGTAAGACCTTGGTCTCTTTTCTGATTTCTATCCCTCTTTTCTCTCTTTCTCATCTCACCATCCCCCCCATCCCCCTGAAGTCAGTCTTCCATCATTGTTTTCCTTTCCCCCAACTGCTCAGTTCCCAAGTCTGGCTTATTTATCCCAATTTCTGCGAGTCCCCTGGGTCTGTCCCCTCTCACCATCCATCTCCATTGCTGCCTCCTTTCCTCACTCTGTCTGTTTTGGGTCTTTGGTTACAATCATCACCAACCCCTGCTGGCTAAGGTAGAAACAAGAAGAGGATTCTGGGAAGCTCACAAAATCAAGGGAAAATGAACTTGTCAGGCTCCAGGAATAGTAAAATGAGGGGTCCCAGTCCAAAGTCACAGCCAGCCTGCTTCTCCAGGAAGAACGATTGATTGGTCCACCTTGGGTGGGGCACAGAACACCTGATTCACAGCCCTATCCCTCGCTGCACCCCCCCCCCCCCTTGGGGGGAAAGGGCAGGGATTTCCAGAAGGAACCAGGATCCTGGGACCAAACGAAAGGGAGGGTATGCGGAGCAGCCGAAACAGCAGTTGTCTTCCATGAACTCTTTGCTCATCTCTTCCGTTCTCCTCTCCTTGTCATTCTTTTCACCGTCCTGGCTAAGAAAGATCAGGGTAAAGTATTAGTGTGAGAATCCGTGTTGGATCTGAGCTGTGAAAGACAGATAAGATTTCAGCAGACAGAAAACATAGGGGTGGGCCATTCAAGGTGGTAGAGCCAGATGACAAAGGCGTAAGGGTAGGGACTTGTGAGTTGTCGTCAGCCTTGAGAGCACCCCCCGGATGAGTTCTAGAGGGCCAGGATAGAACTGAACTTGGACCTCAGGCTGTCCCACTAAGGCCTCTCATCCTTGTCTATCCAGCCCTCCACTTGCCTTGTAATTCACACCCAGACCCTCCTTTCCCCAACAGAGACCCCAGGACCAGCACAGCCAGAGGAACTACGTTCTCTCCGGAGCTGTGTTTCCTCTCGGCGCTTTACCTGGCACCTGGTGTGGCTTCCTGTGATACAGCTGTGGCACCACCTCTTCCTCGGCACCCTCAACTCTCTGCCCACCAACCTGGCTGGTGGGGACAGGGCGCTGGGTATGTGGTGGGGCTGGGAGGCAGCCCAGCTGCACATCCCGCTGGGGGCTCGGGACCTCGAGGGCGTGGGGTGCTAAGATCCTCAGGGCTCTGTGCTCCAATGGGAGGTCTGAGTCGGGATTTGGGGAGGAGGGTCTGGCCAGGCAAGGGCAGGGTGGGAAAGCCCTCTCCTGTGAGGAAGGCCTGGAAATGGCCCACCAAGCCCCCTCTCTGTCCTCGGCAGTCAGCAGCTACACGAATGCCTTTGCCATCACTCAGTTCTTTGGAGTGCTGTGTGCCCCCTGGAACGGCCTGCTCACGGACCGGCTTAAACAGAAGTACCAGAAGGAGGCGAGAAAGACGGGTGAGACCTGGCTCCCGAGGATGAGGGAACCAGGAGAGGGAGATGTCTTCATACAGCTCCATGCCCGTCTTCTCTTTTGTTCTTAATCTTTTTGTACTTGTATCTGTCCACCCATCCACCCACCCACCCACCCACTAGTCTTTGAGTACCAATGATGTGCCAGCCACAGTTCCAGATTCAACAATGGACAAGGCAGATAGAACCTTGTTCTCAAGCTGTCCTCAGTCTAGAGGTTGGAGAAAGGCAAGTGTCAGTCATTGCAGTCCATGAAGTAAATCATGGGGGGGCGGCTATGGGGACACGAAAAATGGCACGTATCCTGCTCCGGGAGAGGATGGGATTGGTGTCCGGGAAGGCTCCCTGGAGGAAGTGGCATCTGAACTGAGAGCTGAAGGATGAGTAAGAAGTGAGGAGATGAAGAGGAGAACCCTGGAAGAGGGAGTGGCGCAGGAATACAGTGGGGTTAAGATGATGAAGGAAGGAGCAAAACATTGAAGAATCTGGGGAATTCCAGAAAGCGATTCAGACGTGCCAGGGCACTGAGTGCTAGGGAGTGGTGGGAAGGGGCTGGCGACAAAGAAGTCAGAAGGGGCGGGCAGCTCACAGTGCTGAGGAGCGGGGACAGGATCCTTGGGTTGGAGGAACCAGGGGCGCTGCGGTCTTGCAACCTCTGGGGGTGTGGGTGGGGAGGGACTGAAGCAGAGAGTAACAGTTTCATCCACAGCCCTCCCCCACTTCCTGGCACTGCTTCTCCTGCTCCTGGGGAGTCTTCCAAAGCAAATCTCAGACATCAAATCATTTCCTCCGTAAACACTTCAGTTAGTATCTGTAACAACTAAGGCCTCTTTTACTTAAGCATCGCTGTAATGTTATCACCCCTAAAACAGCCCCGATAGTTTCTTACTCTCATGTAATATGTAGTTCTGTCCAGATTTCCCTAGTTGCTGCAAATATGTCTTGTTACAGTTGGTTTGTTCAAAGTAGGGTCCACACAGTGTATTTTTGTTTGAGGTGGCTTTTCTGTGTTTTAAAATCTGTGTCCCTCTCTCACTTTTCTCCCCCCCTCTGGCTGTTTATTTGTTGAAGAAACTGGGTCTTTTAGTCTGTCGATTTCCCAGTCTCAGATCTGGCATCCTTTTCATGTCATTGAAAAATGTCTCTTTAATTGGGTATTTCCTGTAAACAGGCAGATTGGAGGCTGAGGGGACTCGGTGTAATATTTTTTGGTGAGAATGATTCAGCGGTGGGGCGGAGGGCTCAATAGGCCCCTGGTACCCCTTGTCCCTGCTTTATGATGTTAAGATTGATCAGCGGCTTCCGATGCTGTCATTCTGATGGCCCATTATAAAGTTTCCCATCAGCTGCCTGCCTTGTGATCTCAGCAGCCATTGATGATCAATGCCGAGACCCATTATTTTATTAGGGTTATAAAATGGTGATTTTCTATTTGTATCTTCCCTTCTGCTTTTAATAGCTAGAATTCCTCTAGAAAAAAACAAAACAAAACAAAACTTTTCCTTATGGTCTATTTGTTACCCTGAAGTAAATGCTTGGCTTTTCCTCTATTTACATTTCATAATAATGAGGTTGCCATAGCAACCCCTAGGGTGACTACTTGTTTGTCTTTAAAAGTTTCATTTGAAATATATTTGAATGTGTTTCCATCTGGTTCCATCCAAATTCTTGACACTCACATTGTCGTGTTTTTGGACTTGACCAGTCCAGTGTCTGTGACCTTCCGATGCTATCCTATTTGTTTTAGACCGTGTCTTCACTGTCCAGCATAATGGGAGGTTCAGGTCCGTTTCAGTGGGCCGGCTTCCCGCCCCAGGCCTGGCAGCAGCCATCTTTCCCAGGAGCCCTGGGTCCCTCTAATGGGAAACGGTGTTTAAAAGCTACAGTCTGGGTGCCACTGTGTCTCACTATCCTGGGTTCTCATGGCTTTTCCGCCTTGGGCAGAGGTAAGATATCCATAATTTTTTGGATGAAAAAATACATCATGAATACCTAGTGCTGGTATTTTAATTTAAACTGTACTTCATGGAGTTTGCATCTGTGTGTCTTTTCTTCTGAAAGCTGTGCTTCCGAACAATCCTATCTATATGCATAAACTATGTACACATAGTATACACTATATACATGTATAGTATTTTAAATATATATTTTACATGCAATTACTGGTTTAGTAATATGAATATTTTTTAAATTTTAATTTTCCAGTTACAGTCAATAGTAAATATTACGTTAGTTTCAGGTGTACCTCATAATACAGGGTCCAGCACAAATAATGCCCCTTTTTACTACAAAATCATAAGCATGTAATTCTGTAACATAACAATATCATGCACAAGCATACCATATGACATTTTAGGTGAAATGTTCAAATTAAAACTATGAATTATCACACCCATATTATTACCCCACTGACCACACTCAAGTAGGTGTTACTTCTGCCGGTATTACTTCTCCCTGTATTACTACTGTATTTTCCTGTGTATAAGGCACAGACACATTTTTGCACACATTCTACACGGGACTATTACACCCGTGGTACGTAATCATTGTACCCATATATAATGTACACCCTTACTTTCCCCTCCAAAATTTGGGCAAAAAGTGCACATTATACACGGCAAATATGGTAATAATATAATTACTGCTCCTTCCTTCCTTCCTTCCTTCCTTCCTTCCTTCCTTCCTTCCTTCCTTCCTTCCTTCCTTCCTTCCTCATCCCTAGGCTATTTCCCACCAGAGACCTATAGTCAAATTACTGTGTTACAAGTCACCAACCTGATATAAAATTACGTTCATTGGTTTCATTTTCTTTCTGATTTTTGGGGATTGCTTTGCTTGTTTCCTCCCTATTACGTTTATTTATTTTTATTTGAAAAACATTTACATATCAAACATATCCACTTTTCTCAAGCCAAAACTGTGAAACAAGATATATTCAAAGACATTTAGTTTCCCTCTGTTCCCTGTGCTCCATTCCTTTCCTCTCCCTTTGGTAATTATTTTTATTGGTTTTTTTTTCTTAAAGAAAGACTATGTACATACAATTTCTCTCTTGCTTAGAAAAAGTGCAGCACAGTGCACAGCCTTCTCTGCAGATTTGTTTCTGTGTAACTCTGTTGACCGAGTGTAAACGAATCAGGATACTTGGCTAGAATGAAATGACAAAGTTCTATTCAAGGGTTTTAAGTGAGCAAATTACTATTCTGGAAATGCTACCAGGCAATACCTAGAGTGTTGCACAGAAGAAAAAAGGGTGGAGAGTTTTTATGGCACAAAGCACATTCTTGAGGAGAATTCTTCTTGCATTCTTTTGAACTGGAGATCTTCTAGGTGCCCAGGTGTCTGGACTTGTCAACATTCTTTCCTAAGTTCTTCAGAGGATTATCTAAAAGATTTACGTACCTCCAGGCATTGATGCAGAACTGAAAAATTCAGACGTTAATTTAAGTTTCCGGGCTAAAGTTAGATAAAATCGTTTTCTTCACGTTTTGGCCCACACTGACTTTTGTCTGGTGACTGTGGTGACTCCGTTGTGTTTCTTCACTCTTTCCTCACCCCCTCCATGCCCGCGGGCCCCCCCCCCCCACTGTCCTGCTCCACAAGGGTCTGGGGTCTGTCCTCCTTCCTTAGCTGCTGCCTGGTTCCCTAGTATGTGGCTGCAGCACAGTGGACACAGCATTCCCCTCCTGGTGGCTAGTTGGGTGGTTTCCAGGCTCTGGCTGTTACCAGTGGAGCCCCTGAGAGTACCTGGCTCTGGGCTGGAGGGGCCAGAGCAGATGCGGAGCTCTGTTGGGGGCTGTTGTACTAATCCATGGAGCGATGGATGGTCTAATCCATGGTCTACAGCCAAGCTGAGTCCGTGGAAATGGAGAGTCATGGATATATTTGAATGTTATTCAAGGAGTGGATTATCAACATTTATTGATGGATCAGAGATGGGGCATGTGGGAGAAGGAGGATTCAAGAATGACCCCAGGCTTCTGGCTGGATGGTTGTGTGCATAGTGGCTCCTCATTTTCTCCCCATTTTCTTGCCCCTCCCTGCCCTCCCTGGCGCCCCCTGCAGGCAGCCTCTCCTCCTCCCCCTTGAACCAGGTTCTTCAGCCTCAGCCGCGGCCCTTTCCTTAGCTGTGCCTTCGCTGACCCTGACATCTCTGCTGTGCCTCGGCTTTGCCCTCTGTGCCTCGGTCCCTGTCCTCCCCCTCCAGTACGCCACTTTCATCCTGCAAGTCATCAGCCGCTCCTTCCTCCAAGGGGGCAACGCCGCCTTCCTCACCCTGGCGTAGGTGGGCTCGGGGTGCATTACACAATAGAGGACACGGGGGCAGAAGGCAGCATGCTGGAAGTAAGAAATCCGGAGGTGAGGGCATCCCTGGAGGTGGTCAGGTGTGGCAGACAAGGCCCTGGAGCAGGGGTAGGGGGTGATGTGGGGGGGGGGGCTGGTGGGAGGGATAGAGCGAGCACTGACTTAAGCCTTCTCATCAGCTCCTCCTCCCACCTCTGTGATCTGTCTGGTGAACTCCTAGTTGCCCTGCAACGCTCACTTCTCTTCCACATCCCCCAGGAAAGAGTGTTCCCTCCTTTGCACCCTTGGCAATCACTCTAGCCTTGCTGCCTCAGGGCATGTGCCGCCTGGCCTACAGTGATCTGTTTCTGTGTCTGTCTTTGCCTTGAGACCTCCCTGGGGCACAGCCTGTGTCTGGGTCCCTGCTGTCTCCCCAAGGCCCAGCGAAATATCTTCTCAGTGTTCTGAGGTTTGAAGGGTTGAGCCAAAGCAGAGGGGGAAGGGCTGTGTGGAGGTGGGCGGATGAAGGCAGGCCTAGGACAGGGCAGTCGGGAGCGAGTGGCTGACAAAGGCCCACGGAGGCCAGGCCCCTACCTGGTGGGAGAGGGCCCGGAGCTCACCTGAACCTCCTTGTCTGTCCCCAGTTTCCCTGCAGAGCACTTTGGGAAGCTCTTTGGGCTGGTGATGACCCTGTCAGCCATCGTGTCCCTGTTCCAGTTCCCCATCTTCACTCTCATCAAAGGCCCCCTTCAGAACAACCCCTTCTACGTGAGTACTGGAGTGGGGACCCCGGGGTGGGGTGGGTCATCCAGCTCTGGGGGAGCCCAGCAGAAGGCACCCCCAAACGCGGCAGTGTCCTGACCCCGGCACAGCTTTGTTGGCCTCATTTAAGAAAAGGTCAGCAAAGTGTTAGAACAGGAGTTCAAATCAGCCATTAGGAGGGAAAACAAGGACTGAACGTACAAGCTGAGAACTGCTGGGTTGTGACATTGGACGAGCCTCACTTGATACTCAGGAGCTGTGTGTTCCCGCATGACTTTGAGCAGGTCGTTGAGTGCTTTGGAGGCTTCAGGTTTGTTCACCTGAGAAATGGGCATAGTACCCCTCCCTCACCGGGCTCCACCGGGCGGAGTGAAGAATAACTCAAGGTGCTTCCTCGGGGGCACCCTTGTGTCTGCGTGGAATCGGGAGATAAACCAGGCAGCATACTGGTCCCTCTGTCGGTGGTGGGTGCTGTCAGTGTCCTTGGGCTTCGCCTCACTCCTCCCCTCCCCCCGCCCCAGGTGAATGTGATGCTGGTGCTCCTCACTCTCCTGATGCTGGCTTGTCCACCCCTCCCTGGTGCACCGGGAGTGCTGGCAGGAAGCAACTCCAGCCACGACCGCTTAGTTCAGAAGCCCTCGCTTTTCAGCCCTTCGAATGCTTTTGCTTGTCTTTCTTGGAGGACCCTGTTTCCAGAAAGACTGTGTGCACTCGGGGTACCTGTGTTAAGTGGCCAGTGTTTTCTCTGAAATAAAAAAAGATGTATCTAACTGCCAGCCAAAACTTTTGATCGGTGGCCAAGCTGATTGACTTCATTCAGACCCGCAGCAAAGGCACGTGGTCCAGAGCAGGAAGCCCAAGGCATGTGCAGACTTGGCCTGAGGGGAGGTGATGTGAGGTTTGGCACTGAAGCCCATGGGTGCCTGGGCTCTGTGCTGCTGGGGTGACCTTCCAGGTGAAGAGTAAGGTTGTCATGGCCTTGACCATGCTGCTTGGCATCCGGAGGTGGTGCCCAGTTTGCCCTCAAAGGCACAACCTTGGTGAAGGACAGCAATGAGTCTTGGGGAGAAAGAGGAGCAGATGGGGTAGGGGCGTGGTCCCTGGGCCTAAGTCCCAGCTCTGCCACTGATGCTGGACAACTACGCAGACCTTGACTGGTCTGAGCATCAGTTTTCCCATCTGTAAAACAGGAGGGTTCTGGAGCTGAAGGTTCTTCCTGATGTCCTGGAAGACTTGAGGAACACCGACACGGTCAGGCCACCCAAAGAGCCTTGGGAACCGGCTGGCCTGCTTGATTGAAGGATTTCTGATGAAGACTTTTGAGCATATTTTCATCTCCAAGAAGGGGGTGGTGATTACTTATTTTGGGTGTTAAATAAAAAATTTTTCTGGGGGATATTTTTGAGATAAATAAAGCATCTCTGCCTAAGGCAACCAGTGCTCTGCCTCTCTGAGCTTTGGGACTGTGGGTGCATGGGCGTGCATGGGCGTGCATGGGCGTGCACGCGTGTGTGAGCCTGCCTGGTGCCCCTGCTTGGGGGAGTGAACACTCAAATGGCGGTGGAGGAGTCTGGCTGCAGCATTCTGGTGCAGCAGCTGAACCCAGAGGTGGGACAGAAACCCTGAAGCTGGGGCCGCCCACTGGTCCTGGGACGAGGGCTTGAGATCCTTTCTCCCTGGGAATCTCTTCCTTTGCCTCCTCTTCCTCCCCGCCCCACTGCCACCTCCACACAGCACACTCCTGCTGGAAGCACTAGGTACAATCAGAAGGTCCCCGTGTGAGTGTCACTTCTGCCACTCTGCAGACAGGCAAGTCCCTTCACCCCTTGGAATCACAAGTCCCTCACCTGCAAAGTTCAGTTAATCATTTCCATCTCTGAGGGCACTGGTGAGAATTTAAGTAATTGCTACTGCTTAGCACGTGGCAGGCTCACAGGAGTGTTCCTGTATTTATGCATGGCCAGAGAGGCGAGGGTAGAAAAGAGGGAGGAGCTGAGGGATCAGGAGGGAGAGAGATGGTAGCTGGGTGAGATGGAAGAGCCCAGAACACATTAGGTGTTACATTCCACTTAGGCAGGAGAGGGGCTGGGATAAGGCAGTGAAGGGGAGGTGCATTCATTCATTCGCTGTTATTCATTCAGCAAATGCTTATTGAGCCCCTATAAGGGGCCAGGTGTGGTTCTAATGCTGGGAATATGAGATGCACAGGGCCTGAAGCCACCTGTTCTCCGACTGCCAAAGGGTGATTTCCAAGGGTCTAGGTCCTGGGTCTGGAGACAGACACCAGAGTGCTAATGGATGTCTTCCGTCTAATCTCGCTCAAAATCTTCCATGTTTTGTCTTCAAGAAGGCTCCCTGCTGCCCAGCAGAGTCTAGATCCTGGCCTGGCATTCAGGGGTCTTAACAATGTGAGGCCAACCTCTTCCTCTTCCCAGCCCTCTTCACCTCCCACCCCCAGGGAGCCAGAACTCACCCCCAAGGGCCCAGGGCCTGGTCTGTGGGTCTGCAAATACACCAGTTCCCCTGCACTGGGTGCTTGCCCCACCTCTGCTAGGGACACCTGCCTGGTCCTCAGGGGTCCTGTTCAAAATGCCATCTTGTCTTAAGAAATCTGATCTTGGGCTTTCTAGCAGCTCTGAGTTCCTGGCACTTGTTCACAACCTTCCTGGTGACAGCATCTGCCTGCTTGAATGTCAACCTCTCCTAACCTGGACAGCCAGGCCCAGGAAGCAGCATCG